CGAGCCTGTGTAGAAAGAGTTAATGACCCATTGCGTTATATCCGAATTCGCATTAAATCGGGGTAGTAAAATCGGGATTTCACTGTACTATACCTAATAAATAAAAAACCAACAACGATAGAATGTACTTTCTGATGTCTATCTTCAAAAAGATTACATTTACCTTCATCCAGAAAATCTTCTTCATCATCTTCTATGCGATACTGACGCTTCTTATTTTCATCTACCACAGCAAGAAGATTTTCAGTTGAGTCACACTGTTCTCGTTGTAACATTTCTTCTAAACGAGCACCTATAGCCTGACAAACAGGAAATTATAAAACAAAATAGCTTTATAATGATTTTTGACTTTATCTGTTAGCATCAAGACTGAGTCTCAGTGCCAAATTAATACAAGAAAATCCTGGTAATTATTCATAAAGAACATTATTAGATAACTTTTTTGTCTCATGACTGATAAACAATTTTGGAGACAAAACAAATAGAAGTATAGCTGAAAATTTATTAGTAACTAGCTGGAGTACCAGTCCCCTGGATGGAAGTTATGTAAATTCATGATTAGTTTGGTTTGTTATGAATTTTGCGCAAAGCTTCACGGGGGATATCTGTGCTAGTCGTCCCTAATTTAGCAGTGTAAGACTAGAAGGAAGGCAGCTAGTCATCACCACCTACCACCAACTCTTGGGCTACTCTTTTACCAACGAATAGTGGGATTGACTGGCACATTATAATGCCCCCAAAGCTGAAAGGGCAAGCATGTTTGGTATGATGGAGATTTGATCCCGCAACCCGCAGATTGCGAGTCGAGTGCCCTGACCACCTGGCCATGCTGGGACAAATTCATGATTAATGAATGGTTATCTTAGGACATGAAAAGTTGCTTCCCTTATATGAAATTGTAAAAAACGCCCATAAAAACTGCAAAACACAAAATTTGAAACCACGAGTCTGCAAGTATCTCGGCATGGACCCAACAAACCACCATGCCAAATTTGGTGAAGATTCATCAGGGAGCAAAGTAGTAGTAAAAAATGACCATAAAAACTGCAAAAATGCAAAACTGAAATTATGTATGTATCCCCTGAATGGACCTTATGAACCTCCATAGCAATTTTGGTGAAGATACATCCACATCCTGCGAAGTAGTTACATGGACAGACAATAGACAGTACTATTATATTTATATAGATTATTCTCTGCAACTACTTAAAATATTTTGTAAACCAGGTAATACCAACTGAACTCTACTATTAGTTACATCGTTTAGTAATTAAAAATTAATTATTTTTGTTAAAATTTGTATATTCTGCAATTCCGAGGAAAAATTGACCCCCTGCTCATCAGATGTGATAAAACTAATTTCAGCTACTACCTTCAACATTCTGTAAGTCAGATATGATAAACCAATTCCAGCTACTACCTTCCACATTCTGTTCATCAGGTGGGATAAAACCAATTTCAGCTACTACCTTCCACATTCTGCTCATCAGATGTGATAAAACCAATTTCAGCTTCTACCTTCAACATTCTGTAAATCAGATATGATAAACCAATTCCAGCTACTACCTTCAACATTCTGTAAATCAGATATGATAAACCAATTCCAGCTACTACCTTCCACATTCTGTTCATCAGGTGGGATAAAACCCATTTCAGCTACTACCTTCAACATTCTGTAAGTCAGATATGATAAACCAATTCCAGCTACTAACTTCCACATTTTGTTCATCAGGTGGGATAAAACCAACTTCAGCTACTACCTTCAACAATCTGTTCATTAGAAATGATAAAACCAATTCGAGCTACTACCTTCAACATTCTGTAAGTCTGATATGATAAAACCCATTTCCGCTACTTCCTTCAATATTCTGCTCATCAGATATGATAAAACCAATTTCAACTACTACCTTCAACATTCTGTTCATCAGATATGATAAACGCCATTTCAGCTACTACCTTCCACATTCTGTAAGTCAGATATGATAGAAATCATTTCAGCTACTACCTTCAACATTCTGAAAGTATATGAGAAAATTCATTTCAGCAATATTACCTGCAACATCCTGTTGGTCATATGACAATAACTGAGCACTAAACAACTCATGTTTATAAAACATTTACAATTGCTAATACACATTGTACGTGTAATGAAGCAGAAAATCACTCACTTCTGCCCACTGATAAAACATACGACCAGCAGCTCGTTGTAAAATATGGGTTCTTCTTAAGCCAGAAGGTGTTCCTCGATTACCAAGAGGTCCTGATGGTCTAAACATTGGTAAATTAAGCTTCATCCAGGTAGGCCACTGGCCTTTATTGCAGCGATGAATGAAGTGTGCGCATTCCAAATATAATGCTGCACGAGCAACTACTGGAGCTTTCTAAAAAAATATAATAATATATCATTGCATAAGAACAATACTCAGGTTAACTTTAAAATCTTCATATGTTCTGCACTTAATGGATTTGCAAGTTATTATTCAAATCTCAAAATTAAATGTTGTTAGCAATAGTGAAACAATTTAATAAGATATCTAGTTGCATAAAACATACATTTTAAAGATGTAAGTATTCATAATAGTTCATAAGTTTATAATTTAACTGAACATAGTGATTTGATTAAAATGAAATAGAATGTTTACAGTTAAATATAAAAATTTTAAAACTTACATTAAAACTTTATTAAATTATCACTAATAAACATAAGACTGGATATTAATTTTTTGAGTCAACACTAAAACATTAAAGCAAAAACACTACTACCTAAAGTGAATCAAAACAAAGTACAACTATTAGCTTAGATAGATATACTAAAATTCAAAAATGTAAAAAATAAACAATTTAAAATGATTCAACTTTACATATAATGATTAGCCTAAATCCTCTAATCAAACCTTTCAAAAAATTAAATTATAGCCTATAGTTACACAAGATAAGAAAATATTTAATTAAGCTTCAATAATCATTTAAAAAGTAAGATTATTAAAAATTTATTATTTTCAATTGGAAAAAATAATGAAAAACTTAAATGTTTAAAAATATTACTGAAACTATTAAAGAAAAAATTAAAATTTTAAATTTTTATAATTTTTTATCCTCATACAGAAGAGAATAGTAATGAATGAGCTGTCTAATTGCATGAATATTGAGAGACTGTGTCAATGTTTTAGTAACTTAACATCTACCTTTATGAAATGGTAAACATCCTAAAACATTTTCATTCAATTGCAGTACAGCAGAAACGTTTTCCTTTATAGTTCTCAGAGTAATTTCAACGGTGTCTAAGCATTCATTTAAATTAGTGTTTTCAATGAATATTAACATCATTACAGAGAATCATTCATTACAGTTACTGACCCATGAGAAAGATATAGTAACAGAGATTACTCAGCTTCCAGTGTGAAAAAAAACCCAAAAAAAACACACATTCAAAGTGCTATAAAACAATCAGTCACAGTTAAGGAAATGTTGCACAACTGTGAGCTAATCAGATTCTTTTACATGACAGGAACATTAATATGTTTTGTTTACTATGATAATTAACATTCTGTGAATTATTTCTCATTAACTGTACAAAATTTATAACTTTATAGTATTTCTGCAAATAAACCAACATGCAAAGATTATACCTAGATTAGCAGCAAGTAAAAGGAACAGCCTAATTTTATTTCATTCAGGTCTACAGACTCAGAAGCCTTAGTATGTCTAAAAAATTATTCAAAAAAGTCCCATTGTTTTTCTTTTTTTCTAGGACATGTGATTGTATTATTTAAGCTTTTGGTTAAAATGCTGTATATTATATATATATATATATACATGTTTTAGAGAGGTATTTATCCTGAATAAATATAACCATTCTATGATGTAAATCATCTCAGGCACCAAAATACAGTCAATATTCTAGCAATGAGACCTAATATAACACTTGGACAATTCTTCAATAATTTGTAAGACTAAAGACACATATCACACAAGTAAGTTCACAAAACAAACCAGGTCTAGAGCTGCAGCCATGAGAGGAGGATCAGGTATTGTTCCAGGATGACAGGTTTCCATTAGGAAAGCAAAACGAAACATCCCATCTCTCACAAGTTGAATATTTACTAGTTTGCTCTCCTTTACCACTAGGAGATCTCCATCACGAGCTCCATGCTCAAGATCAAAAGAGTTGCGTCGACTGAGATCTAAGGAAAATAACAGTTAATATTTGACAAATCTATCTAGTTAACTTAAACAAACAGTTTTCTCTCTAGAGTTCACATATCAAGATATGAGAAACTGTTTCACTTACAAGCCAAATTATTAGAAAATGAAAATATTTAAAACCAGCAAGAACAATATACAGTTGGATAACTACAAAGTTTAGACAAAAGTAGGATCCAGGTTTTTGATAGCAAAACTTAGGCCAGAGAAAGGTAAAGCGAAATTACAGATGATATAGAAGCATGTTAAACTATTTGAAATTTTAAAAGCTGAAAAAGAATATGTTGAATTATTTCAACTATTACACACTAACAGTATGCTCCCTAATCATAAAATTTAAAAGCTAAAGAACATTTTAATAATGAGAAATTTTGAATGATCTGGTCATTATGACAAGTTGAATAACTTTCTTTGACTACCAACAGGGTAAATCCTAGCTGAAGATCACTAATATTGAATGAAAATCCTCCTGAACCACAATTTATGGTAGACAAAATATGGATCTGAAATCCTATTGTTACACTCTCTAATTGAAAATCTGTAAATGACTAATGAAGAGGACTGAGTAGAAAAAGAAATGCAGTCAAGCATGGTTTAATCACTTTTTTTAAGATATAACATGCCTCACTGCTTTACCAGCTCATTTTACACCACTGAAAAAAAAAAGGACCACATTCCTAAAAATAATTTAGAATGTAATATTTATCTTCAGTAGCTTTTTAGACAAGACATATTTTTTCAAAAAGTATCTAAGTTTTGTGTCCCTATAGTGCAGTGGATAGCGCGTTGGATTTCTAATCCAAAGGTACCGGGTTCGTTCCCCGGCAGGGATGCCATTACCATTGCCTGGTCCCAAGTCCAGGATGAGAAAGGAGGAGGGTTGAGCGCGGGGCTAGCAACTCAGCCCCGTAAAAATCAACCTGCTAAAAAAATTACTGCAACAACAACTTCCGTCGGCGAGGTGTTGTTGGGGCCCTATGCGCCAGTGGGAGTCTACAGGGATTATTATTATTATATCTAAGTTTTAGTATGACTATTTCTATTGTTAGAGTTTTATTTGTAATTTTTCAAAACTAAAAAAAAGTAAACTAACTTTAAAACCTACTGAATAACTTTTTGAAGGATGAGCATAAAGTTATGAAAATTATGATTTATTTTAAGCATTACGAGAAATATCTTGAGATGCTCCCTTACAGTTTCATACATCTTTTTGGATCACTGAGCTATTATATGAGTAAGAGTCAAGTGCTGAAAAATGTGGGGTATTAAAATGTTTTTTAAATTATTCAACCTCCTCAGTAGACTTGTGCCCTTGGCTTTAATCACATTGAATGAGCTTAACTATTAAAAGGTAAAATACAATTTAATAGTTTTGACACAAGTTTCATAACCTGCAAGTTCAAGAGAATATGTTATCTAACAAAACATAATCTCTTTCAACAGCTAAAGAATAACCTAACAATGAAGAAAGTTGATAATGATTTTGTTTTGAACTTATCATAAATTCATTACATTGAGCTAAGAAAGTACACCACTTGATTCAATTCAGCAAGTTATACATTAAGAAATTTTCTACATGTACATCAACTGATTAGATAAATGTTGCACAAATCTAACCTAAGGGTTCTTCAAAGCTTCCATATTTATTTTTATTTCGTCCAATTCCAATTTTATTTAAATGATCTTCCATTCTCTTCCGTGCTCGTGATAATGTCAAACTCATCTGACTGGAAGACTTCTGACCCAGTTTAGAAGTACGACTAATGCAGCTTGCTCGACGAGATAATCTTTCACTCCCAGGGTAACTTTTTGATAAAACTGGAGAAGCAGACCCACTTTTGCTCCACCTTTGTCTGGCATGCTTCACTCGTTCTCCTTTTAACCAATGCACTATAAAATGAAAAAAATAATTAAATGATGGAGTACAAGCAAATGTTACATGTATCTCCTAAAGAAACTAGAAATAAGTGATATATTTATTATTTTCCAAGACATTGTACAAATGTCTCTCCCAAAACATGCTTACTCCTTCTTTTATGCTTGTTTGTTTTTAATTATGCACAAAGCTGCACAAGGG